TTTTATTGTAGTAATATTTTTTGTTGTTAGCCGCCTAGAGTGGTCCTGACCCGACCAGATAGGCGGGATATAAATTAAATAAATAAATAAATAATAAATAAATACTGAGATCGCTACAAGTCGTATGCAACTTATTTACTGTATTTTATTGATTCAAAATGTTTCTACCCTGCCTTTCTCCTTAAAAAAAGGACCCAAGGCAGTTTACCTCTGTAGAAGACCAAGTTTAAAAAGGTAAAAACAGTAAGTATACAAACATTTAAAAAGGATCAAATAAATACACTAAAAGGGTAAACAAAACAACTCCAAAAACATTGAAAGCAAAAAATAAAAAATAAAAAAAACACCAACCAATATGATAAAATGTAGATACTTCTATATTCTGGATATTTGCTTTATAAAAATACATTGGTACTGGTTGGAACTGTTGTGTTCAACAGGAGTGTTGTGTATGTTTTATACAGTAGAAGTTTTATATTATTTTACATATTGTTCCCTTCCAGAGCCACGGGCAAAAACTGGTCACTTTATCACCTCCACTCTCTCTCTCTCTCTCTCTCTCTCTCTCTCTCTCTCTCTCTGTGTGTGTGTAGCAGTTTTCAGACTGTTATAATTATAATTAAAAAGGTCCAACTAAATCAAATTCAATGGGCCTTGCCCCACTGTCCTTTTGACAACACCTATGGATTCAGTGGGTCTAATCCAGTTGGGAGTAAAAGCCAGAACTGGTCTACTGGATCCATAGATAGTATTCCTTGTTCACCCCATTATTTCCTCACTCTTGGCCATTCCATTTGTGTGGCTGTTTTGGCTTCTGCCCTTCTTTATCTCTACCCACCCACAGAAACGAAAGGTCCAGCAATCGGGGGAGAATACCTCAGGCGACTGGATCGCCTTTGGGCACCAGATCTGGTTGAAGTCTTCTTGGTCTCCCTCCGAATCAGCTCCCTCTGCACCTAGACTCTCTTCCTTCATGGAACGATCCAGATTTCCCAAGGTCTCCTGGTCAACGTCCATCGGGGAATGGGCCACGTCTTCTCCTCTCAAACAGGGAGCAGCACCTCCTAATCTCTTCCGGGAGGCCTGAAATCCCTTGCTCTCTTCTTCCCTCGCCGCTGGCCACAGCTGAGGCCACTGGGAGCCCCTCATTCTCTGGTGGCCCAGTTCCACCTTCTTCAGGTAATCCTGCCATTGCGATTCCCAATGCTGCTGGGATCCTTCTTCTGGCTCTTCCTTAACTTGCACCAGGCCTTCCTCAGTCAGGAACTCCCCATCAGCGCCAGCGTGAACAGGGTGAGAATCTACTCCTCCGGCCTCTGATCCCTCCTCCAATTGATGCGTCAAGGGCGCCTGTCCCTCCATTTTCCTTCCCAACTGGGCTTTCAAGGAAGAAAGTCAGGTGTTAGAAAGAGCAAAGTAACTTGTTTATTTATTTATTCCTTATGTTACAAGGAGCCTCGTGACACCGTGGTTAAGCTGCATGCTGCCACCAAGACCCCGCTCACAACCCGAGTTTGATCCCAATGGATTCAGGTAGCCAGCTCAAGGTTGACTCAGCCTTCCAAAGTCAGTAAACTGAGTACCTAGCATGCTGGGTGTGTGTGTGTGGATAACTATATTGTAAACCAGTCAGAGAGTTCTTTAAGCACTATGGGGTAGAATATAAGAATCAACACACATACATTTGTCCCTTGTCTTTTCTTCACGAGCTCAAGGTACTGGACATGGCTGTTCATCTCAGTTTTGTCCTCACAACAAGCTCGTGAGGTGGTCCAGTGAAATGAGTCACAATCGCAAGACCATCTGGTGGGCTTCGTCGCCACACTCTGCAGTATACTCCCCTTTCCTCAGAATAGCTAGACTTTATGCCATAAATCTTGGTTTTGATGTGGGAGATGGTATTCTTGATTTACTCCAAAAACACTATACAGTGGTGCCTCGCACAGCAATCACTCCGCATACTGATGAAATCGCTTTGCGATGGACTTTTTGCCATCGCAAAAGCGATCGCTTTGCGATGGTCCCTATGGGGTATTTTCGCTTTGCGATGATCACAGGGAAGTGATCATCGCAAAGCAACCCTTTTTGCACAGCTGATCGGCGGTTGCAAAATGGCTGCCGGGTAAACAAAATGGCCGCCCGCTGTTTTCAGGGACGGATTCCTCACTTTAGAGGCACCAAAAATGGCAGCGCTATGGAGAAGCTTCGCTTAAAGGTGAGTTTTAAGCCCATAGGAACGCATTAATCGCGTTTTAATGCGTTTCTATGGGCTTTTTTATTTCGCTTAGCAATGTTATCACTTAGCAGCAATTTTTTCTGCATGAATTAACATCGCTAAGCAAGGCACCACTGTACTGTATAAAACAACTATTTTATAGAAAAAAGGGATGATCTCACTTGCTGTTCCCCACCCCTTCACCAGCTCATCTTATGTTTCAGTTTCTACACTGGAAAAATATTATGGAGGAATCTCATGCCCATATTTTAATTTAAAATGATTACCATCGTGAGACAATTAGCAAAATCCTGTAATATAAATTCACACCAGCAGAAGATGATGATGTCATCATCTGGCACTGGTAAAATGTGAATTAGAGTAATTAAAATCTTCCTATTCCTCCATTTCAGGTTCTGAGGCTCTCTAAGGCTCCCTTCTGCCCCGAGGAGGCCTTTGGAATGGGGCAAGGGAACCTTTCATTGCCTCGAACAAGCCTGATCGAGTCCCCAAATGCCTGTTTTTAAAGTTAAGATAGTTTTAAACGTTCTACCTATTTTTAAGCCTTCAAGGCATTTTAAATCAGTTTTATAATTTAATTGTGCTAACATATAACCTCTGTATTTTTAATTCTATTCTTTTAAATACAGTGAGCCGCCTCGAGTCCCCAGATCAGGAGAAAGGCGGCCTAAAAATAAAACATTTTAAAAAAAATTTTTAAAAATCACCACTGGCTTTCCTAATCCCTTTTTTTTAAAAAAATTAAAAATCACCACTGGCTTTCCTAATCCCAATCATGCAAACAAGGGAATCTGGTAGCAATTTGGGTGATTAAAGGCTCCCTCCCCCCATACCTCCTTGTCCCAAAGCTCCTGATGGCTTCCTCGGGGTAAGAGGGAGACTCAGAGAGACTTGAAACCCAAATCAGGGATGTAGGAAGCTCTCAGTTAATTTAAATTAAATATTATCCGCATCAGCTGGTGGCACCGTCAACTTCTGACATTTGGGGCCACTATGTGTCAAAATGAATGTACAATATTATCTGTTTATGTTTGTCATATTCTAGACCTCGGCCATACAGCCAGGTCATCCATCCTAAGACATTCTTCTCATGCTGGGGAAGCAGCCGGTTGCACCTTCAGCCCTGGATCAAAGTAGCTAGGTCCATCCTTGGGCATCAGCAGAAGAAAAGCATCTCTTCCCTTCCCTGGCAGGATAAACAGAACAACAAAATCAATAAGTTACAACTTTCTGTTCTTTCAGGAGTCGCCTGTGGCCACCTCACAGTATTGCTAGTCCTTTTATTATAATAATCATGTGCCATTGACTCAATTCTGACTCACAGCGATCCTTTTTTTAAGGGTTTTCCAGGTAGAGAAAGTATTCAGGTTTCCCCTTTCCTTCCTCTGAGACTGTGCAGCTTGCCCGAGGCCACCCAGGCTTGACTTTATTCATTTATTTCTTGAATTTGTATACCGTCCTATTAGTGCAACGCACTATTCTGACTCTACTCACAGGGAGCACGGTAAGGAAGTGACCTCTACCTAAACCACTGAACTATTCAGACAGCGGCTAGTTCTTTTATAGGGGTTTTTTAAAGAGTATTTATCTCAGTGTATTATATCACAGATATGCACCTGGGAGGAAAATGGGTTCTAACCTTAAAAATAAAGTGAATGCAAAGCGAGGGCAATCCAAAAGCACCCATTCTCAATCCACCTTTGCAGGCATCGCTTGGGGCTGCCTGCACCTTAGGTTTCCCCCCCCCCTTTCCGCTGGAAACCTGCCTACAATTTTGTGATGCCTTGCCCTGATGAGGACACCTGCAGGTTTCGAAAGCCGGCACCATTCTGGGTGCTTCTCTGGGTAGCCCTATGAAAGTATTGCCCATAAACGTGGGTTGTGGTCTGGGGCTAATAAATAAGTCTTCTTCTCCCACCGCGCAAGAAACCTTCCCTCCGCCTCTACGGATTCTCCGCCCCATCACCCGCCTTTCACTTCCCGCACCCTTCCCTTGCGGGCACCCACCGGACCCTGCGGGCAGCCTTTGCAACGCACCCTCTCGGAGGCGGACTCCCGAATCCTCCACCAAAGGGGAGGGGGCGGGAAGCACAGGAAGGTGGCTCCTCTTGCTCCCCTCCCCTTGAATCGTTGTCATGTCCTCTCTAGCCACCGGGGGCCTCTGTGCTCTTAACCTCTTCACCACAACTTAGTTTGAAAAGTGGCTTTTGTAGCTACAGTACTGCTGCTGCTGCTGCTACTACTACTACGGACTCCCGAATCCTCCACCAAAGGGGAGGGGGCGGGAAGCACAGGAAGGTGGCTCCTCTTGCTCCCCTCCCCTTGAATCGTTGTCATGTCCTCTCTAGCCACCGGGGGCCTCTGTGCTCTTAACCTCTTCACCACAACTTAGTTTGAAAAGTGGCTTTTGTAGCTACAGTACTGCTGCTGCTGCTGCTACTACTACTACTACTACTATACTACATAATAATAATAATAATAATACTAATACTAATAATACTAATAATACTAATAATACTAATACTAATACTAATACTAATAATAATAATAATAATAATAATAATAATAATAATAATAATAATAATAATAATAATAATAATAATATGATGCCATTGAGTCAATTCTTATGAGTACCTTTTCCAGGGTTTTTCAGGTAGAGACTACTCAGAAGGTGTTTTACATTCCCATCTTTCAGGGGTGCCCAGGGACTGTGCAGCTTGCCCAAGGCCACACAGGCTGGATTTTCTCCTTGGAGGCACCATAAGGAATCAAACTCCTAACCTCTGACTTCACAGCTAAATCACTGAGCTTTCCAGCTAGCTACTACTAGTAGTAGCAGTATCATCATATTGCAGTTATTTCTCAGTATTGCTGGTTTGTGTGGGGGGGGCGGAGACCAAAGTGTCAAGTCCAAAAATTAGGAGCCACGTTCTTAAAAGCTGCAGGTGAGATAAAGTGTT